CTTGGATTTGCATATGTATTCTAATATGATTGAATTTCCTTTCTTGCAGAGTTGAAGTTGTTGGGTAAGTTAGAAATCCCTAGCTTGAGAATTACTTGCATAGGCATTCTTCAGACATTTTCAAACTTCTACAGAAGCCTTGAGGCCAACAACAAGGCTAAAACATTCTTCTGATAATGTCTATGTGATCCAGGTTTTAAGAAGCCGATTGGCCTTTATCTATAATTTGTAGTCTGGGTTTTCGATTTTACTTTTACCATCAAGAGAGGAAATCTTTTGACTTGGTGTAGAGTAATCACCATTAATGAATCCAAAAAGTTCCGGACTCTCAATGAGAGAGAGTATTTGAGTTTCCTATAATAAATAGTTATTCTGTATTAATTTAATAGATACAAAATTTCCTATATTTAGGGTGCAGGGATAGGGATATTTGTTTGGTGAGGATGAAGAGTCCATTAGAATAAAGAGGTATTTTTACAGATAGATAGATCGACTAAGAAAGGTGAAATAATTTTAGAGTTTTTCGGTGTATAAGATAGAATGTAAGCTTAAGATTAAATAAAAACTATATGTTAGACGTTAGAGGCGTGGTTTGGGTGAGATGGATGTTTTTGATGCTATGGATGTTTTTTTATAGTATGGTTAGACAAAATAATGACGGAAAAAGTCGGGTGATGAGGAATTAAATAAGGTGATGAGGAATTAAAAGGGTGCAAAAGATGGAGGCAAAGACGTATGATACAAAAACTATGGATGCAAAACAAGTATGACGCAAAGCAGCATGCAAAAGGAAAAAGATAGGAATATCCAGGACGAAATTTTTTGTACGAAATTTCCTAGTCGAAATATCCAAGACGAAACATGTAATGAAAGAAGAGTGAGAGACTTACTTTGGATTGCAAAATAACTTTTAACATGAAAAAAGTGAGATTGGATCAACGTTTGTTCTAATACCATAAAGAAATTGTTCTAATACCATAAAGAAATTTAGAGAGAAAGAGATTAACTTTTTGAAAAAATAATTATGCCCCACACAACTCTTGTGTGGTTCTTTTATGGTATATATAATGGTAATACAATAGTGCAATATATATGTAATATGTAATTTCTTATCTTCTTATATTCTTCTCTCAAAAGGTAATAATAATATCTCTTTCCTATATTATACGGGGGGTGGGGGTGTATCTGGGGAAGACTATTGGTAACTTTTTGGAATTCAAGTAAAGGTGGATGTCTGGACGTCGTGTCTTAAATCCAAGTTATTATCACATGCAAATATCCCGTTTCCTATTTTTTGGGGATTGGTTTAGGTTTCTTTAATTATATGAAGTATTTCTAGGGTTTAGGAAATACTTTTTCTTATTTTTATGGGTATAGCAGTCCCAACATTTAGAGAATTCATATTTTGCCATATTTGACTTATCAAAATGTAGGACAGTATGTATTGTGTTTATCATTGTTATAAAGAGATAAGGAAGAATTGATATGATTTTCTTTTTGGGTTTTGTTCTTTTCTCTATAAATAGGCACGTAGAGAGGGAAAGGGGCCTTGGGTTGGGTTGGGTTGTGTAGGAGGGAAACCTTGGGTGCAGAAAGATAGAGTGTTCAGAGAAACCTTGAATTAGAGTGTTCAGAGAAACCTTGAATTTGTGTCTGGTTCTCTCAAGTCAAGTCAAAGTTATCATTCCAATGATAAGTGAGAAGTCATGGATGGTTCATGTGGACTATGGAAAGTGCTTTGCAACACAATGCACAAAGTCATCGTTGTATGTATATTGCATTAACTTTATTTGAATGACAAAAATAGAGGTCCCTAAAATCGTGTTAGAATTTGAAAATTAAGCCATAGAAGCAATCGGTAGAAGTAGATGAGAGCAATTAAAATATTGAAGCCATGATGGCAGGTTCTCAAATATTTGAAAATCAATGTCTTCTTGTTGAGTGTTATACATCTATTGTATTTGTGTTGACATCAACTTTAAACTCATGAATCATGACAATATTTGAGAATTTTCGTTGGTTTTATGCTTTTATTCTTACTCTTGATCTTATTGTGCATATGAGCATGAGTAATCGAATTTTGCAAAGGTCACCCGAGAAGACTAATAATGTTTTTCATTCCATTGATTTATCATCTTTTCCGCACAAAGTCTACGTACTTTTGGTTGTAAGAAGAATATTTTTGTGAAAATATTTTCATATGAAAGATGAAAATATGGAAGTTTTTTCACATCAATTGGCTGTCAACTAGTGTGAAAAATACATTAAAACCAATTGATGTAAAAACACTGCCACACCTAACTTTTATCTCAAAATGTTTTCATGATAATATTTTTATATGAACGAAACTGCCTTAAATTAGATGCATGAGGAGGGGCTTTAGAGAGAGACTATCATGGTTGCAGCCTCACAACATCTAGAGTTCTATTCTCACTTGGATCCCACACAACATTTAAAAGCCTAGATGTATTCTTGTTTACAACTTTTTCCATTTTTACTTGTGCCCGAAATTAAGATTCAAAAAGCTAGATGCACTCCTATTTGGATTTTTGTTGAAGGATATGCCAATATACAAAGGGTGCCGTTTGTATGGAGCCTAGGCTCTAAACAATCAAATTAGAGCCTACCTTCAAATAGTATAAAAAAATGTGGTTTCAATATTGGAAATCTTTGTGATAGCCTTAAAATATGTTTTTATATTTGTTTATACAGTTTAAAGCTTCAAAAATTGTATAGATTGACATATCTATGAAAACTTAAAAATCTTGAAAATTGACGGTCCAAAAATGTGTTACAAAATACACTATTTCTAAAACTTGAAATCTATTTTTTTCTTATGTCCATGTTTCTTGATGTTGAGATGATCAATTTGAAGATATTTGAACATCAAAACAACCTCTTCTAGTAAATTTTTTGAGATAGGCTCAAATTTGATTGTTTAGAGCCTTGCCTCTATATATTTTTCTCATGTCCATGTTTCTTGATGTTGAGATGATCAATTTGAAGATATTTGAACATCAAAACAACCTCTTCTAGTAAAATTTTTGAGATAGGCTCAAATTTGATTGTTTAGAGCCTTGGCTCTATATAAACTTTCCCATATACAAATAATGAATACCGATGGGAAAAGTGTTACATGCGTTGGGGGTGTATACCTCCGTTTGCATCGCTTAAGGCATAAAACATCCGTCTAAAGATGGATGTAAATGATGATCTCTTCCAAAAATAAAGTAAAATCAATGATTTAAATATTTTTTTTTTAAAAAAGATAGTTTTAGTTTCTTTTTACAATTTACTATTTTTACACAATAATGATCTCCATGTTAGGACTTATATTCCTTAAAAATTAGGATCAAAATCTAATTAAAAATAGATTATTAGTGGTGCCGCCTTTCTACATATGAGTTGGGAACTCATAAAAACCGTTCGTACATAGGACTTTCACTATTCGTATTCGTTGTTTCAAAATCCAAGGATTTTCAATAAAGATTACAAACGTGGATGGGAATGATTGAGCTTAGATTTGTTCTGGCTCGGGTGCCGGTCCGGTTCCCCGCTAAATCCCCTTTGGTCTGAGGCGCGCTTGTTTATCACATGCCGCACGTCAGTGTTTCATCTTTGCACACACTTCGATAGAAATTGCATTAAGCGCTTTCTTGAGGAGTGCACCGCCGGACTGGCGCCGGTTCGTATTTAATCGGATATGGACATAGACATGGATATGGTTTTGAAAGCGGTTTAATGAACCTGACACGTAAACTGGTCGATTCAATTGTTTAAATTGAACAAGTTTTGAGTGGTCAAAAAAATATTAAAAAAATAAAAAAAAATTTAATTATAAAAAATATGTAAAAAATAATTAAAACAAATACATTCAAATGAAATTGAAAATTAATGAAAAAATAGATTTTAACTTATTTTATATTTTTTAAAAATTATTTTAAAAATTTTCTAAAAAAAATAGAAAAATATAAATGTAAGTGTTGGTGACCAAAACAATTTTTAATCTTTACCTTAATGTAAAGAATATTTTAAAATACATTACAAATCAAATTCATTATTTTTGAGAATTTATATACATTTTTTTTGAATTTTTTTTTTTTTAAAATACCGGTTGATCACCCAACCCGCCCAAAACCGGAACCAGCTAGTGGTAGGTTCCGATCTAATCGGGCAGTTAGCGGTTAGATCGGACGATTTTACGAGCAATAATGAAGATTAAAAAACAGAAAAATGTTTTTTTATAGAGCGGCAACTTTTGAAAACAAGCATTAAAAATTTTAGCTTTGAACATTATATACGGTAATAAATTAATTTAAGGTCTTAAAAATAATATGTTATAGCATATTACTAAGACCAACTATTTCACTCTAAAGATAAATTTTTATGGAATTGTGATTTTTTTTTTGAGCTTCAAATTTTACATGGGGCGTTAAAAATTAATTTTAAAATCATTAAAAAAATTGCCAATGCCCAAGGTACTTATTAGAGGAGGATTTGAAGTGAGGCTTTACTATATTTTAACATGACTTAGGCCTTTAAAAAACTGTATCGAGGTAAAAAAAAGAAAATTGTTTAATGCAAGCCGAAAATTGTTTCATGCAGGCTGGATCACATTTCTACAAATGTGATCCAAGGTAAAAAAAAGAAAATTGTTTCATGGAGGCTGGATCGCATTTCTACAAATGTGATCCGAGGTATAAAGCATCCGCCTTAAAGATGGATGCAAATAGTTGGCCATCTAAAAACAATTAAAATTAAGTGTCTAAATGCTTTTTTTAATAAAATTATTATTTGTAATTTTCAAAATTTATTTCTATCTTCATATTCATGCCTTTATGTTAAAAATTACATATCTGTAAAAATTAAATCCAAAAATCTTTCGCAAAAATAGATTTTTAACAGGTGACTGGTTTCTACATCGACTCGTAAAAACCCTGTGCTAAAAAAAAAAAAAAAAAAAAAAAAAAAGAAACACTTTGGGTTTTCAAGAGACGCGAGATCATCTCTTTCTTATTGATCAACGAGCAGCAAACAAATCCTTGGTTCTCTCAAAACAAACCACAACAGGGCAGAGAGATAAGGTGGGGAAGGACCCAACCCTGCTCAGCGCCACAATTTCAGTTTCCCTTCCTTCTAATTTTAGAAAATAATAAACGTCATCCGCTCCTCAACCTTACCTATATCATCACCTCCATGCGAATTCTCTCCACCCCTTTCTACGACTCTTAAGATTCTCTCTCCTTACTCCATCAAGAGGATGCAGACGGACTGCAACCAGCGTCTGGCACGAATTGCAGCTCATCTCCATCCTCCTGGCCTCCAGGTTCTGATTCATCTCCTCCAATTTCTCTCTTTAATCTCCTTTCTTTAATTTACACACGGACACACACTCTCTCTCTACACTGAGATGTGGATTCCCTCTCTTCTATCTTCTGCAAATGTGGGTGTTTTTTTATGTAAACTGCATATGACTTCTCTCTGTCTTATTCATCTGAAGATGTTGCTGAATGTGAATTCAAAGATGGCTCTCTCTCTCTCTCTCTCTCTCTCTCTCTCTCTCTCTCTCTCTCTCTCTCTACGTACGTACGTACGTACGTTCGTTACGTTACGTTACGTACGTAGTTACGTACGTTACGTACGTTCGTACGTACGTACGT